ATCTGCCTCTTGAGTGCTGGAACTCAAGGTGTGCACCACCTCACCCAGCCAAAAGTCATGCTAACTTTAAAAAAAAATTTATATTTTTAAATATTTTTATTTTTTATGTGTATGTGTGTATTGCCTATGTGTATGTAAGTGCGCCTGTGTCGTGTAATGCCCATGGAGGTCAGAAGAGGGCATCTGATCCCCTGGAACTGGAGTTATGGATGGCTGTTGCCCCCCATGTGGGTGCTGGGAATCGAACCCAGGACCTCTGTAAGAACAGCCAGTGCTCTTAACCCCTGAGCCATCTCTCCATCCCCATCTTAACCTTTTGTAAAAAAGATATATTGCTTCTAGTTACATGAATATATGTGTGTCTGTGTATGCTTGGTGTTCTCAGAGGCCAGATATGTTGGATGCCCTGAAGCTGGATTACAGGGGTTATGAGCCACCTGATATGGGTGCTCGGAACTGAACTCGCAAGAGCAGAATGTACTCTTAACCCCTGAGCCATCTCTCCAGGCCTGTAGCCCTTTCTTTTCTTTTCTTTCTCTCTTTTTTTTAATTAGTTTGGTTTCAGACAGGGTCTCACTCTAGCCCACAATGGACTGAAACACTTGATTCTCCTCCCTCCACCTCCCAGTGCTACGATTACCATCACCCTTGGCTCATCCAAACCACTTTTAGGTGTACAGTACTTAAATACGTTCACAGTGTGGGGCTTAACCTCTATCACTACAATGACTCATCTCCCCAAAATGAATGTCCCCATAGAAACTGCCTCCTGCTCCCACCGCCTGGAAGTGTTTGCTTGCTTTGAGACAGGCTCTAGGTAGTCCTGGCTGGCCTCAAACTTGGAGTGATTATCCTGCCTCTGCCTCTGCCGGGATTAGAGCTGTGTACCACCATGCCGTGGCTGACTGTAAATTTGACTGCCCTAGGTACCTAAGGTAAGTGGAATCACAGTATCTGACTCTTCCGGAGTGGCTCTGAGGAGATGAATGGCTCACCCAGGCTTATCCAGGCTGAGGCATGGATCACTACTTCCTCCCTAAGGCAGAGCCTGGCTTGCTTCCATTGCTCCCATTTTTTTTTTTTTTTTTTTTTGGTCTTTTTGAGACAGAGTCTCCCTGTAGCCACAGCTGGCCTGGATTCACTATGGAGACCAGGCTGGCCTTGAACTCAGAGATCCGTCTGCCTCTGCCTCCCGAGTGCCGGGATTAAAGGCTTGTGCTACCACACCTGGCAGTGATAAGCATTTAAAATCATTAATAGATGTTATATATTAACATTAAAGATGTTTAAGATAATTTAAATACATAACAGATCTATGCCTGACGTGGTGCTGCATGCCGTTAATCCCAGCACTTGGGAGGCCTCAGGCAGATCTTTGTGAGTTCGAGGCCAGTCTGGTCTACATAGTGAGTTCCAGGACAGCTGGGGCTACAGGGAGACCCTGTCTCAAAAAGACCCCCCCCAAAAAAAAAGAAAGAAAAAAAAAAATAACAGATCTAACACATACCTTGCAATCAATTCTGAGATGGCTAGTGTTCAGTAAACAGGGGGCTGAGCTAAAATCTCTTCTTCTTTCTTCTTTTTCATGGTGCTGGGCATCAAACCTGGGGCTTGCACACACTAGGCCAGTGTTCTACCACTGAGCCACATCCCCAATCCAAACTACACTTTTCTGCATTACCCACTGCTGTACCTAGCTCATGGGCTAAGGACCTGAGGAAATGGTTCTGGGGTTGGTTCAAGCATCAAGAGTCAGTAGCAAGAGTCGTTCCTGAAGCTTCAAGGCCTCCAGACACGTATTTCTTTGTAAGATCTGACTCTCTCTCTAAGGCATCAACAGAGAAAGAGCCAAACTGCACGGAGCTGACAAGATCTCATTTGCATTCTTATACAGTGCTCTTGAAACAATTCGGTGTTTGTTCACTGTAGCTGCTTTTCTTTTTTTTTTTCTTTTTGGTCTTTTTGAGACAGGGTTTCCCTGTAGCCCCAGATGGCCTGGAAGTATGTAGACCAGGCTGGCCTGGAACTCACAGAAATCCGCCTGCCTCTGCCTCCCAAGGGCTGGGATTAAAGGTGTGGGCTACCACACCTGGCCTCTGTTTTTTCTTTTTAAGACAATTTCATGCAGCCTAGACAGTCACTGTATGTCTGAGGATGACTCTGAATACCTCCTTTCTCTTCCCACCTTCCTCCACTTTTCTCCTGCCTGTAAAACTCATACAGTGCATGGGATATACTTTAGTGGTAAAGTCCCTGCCTAGCATGCTCAGGCCCTAAGTAGGATCCCCAGCACTTCAAAAAGTAAACAAAAAACCGCAAGGGAGCAAGCCAACAGAAAGTTCACATACCCTGTCTTGAAGGCACACTCGGTTTTGTAGACTCAGGGCTGCCTGGTTCATGACGCATTAATAAATGTTCCATTTTTGGAACTATATTTGCCGAAATGTTTAAAAATTTTTATTGATTTTTATTTTATGTGTATAAGTGCTTTGCCTGCATGTATGTAAGTGTACCCATGCATGCAAACCCAGAGTCCAGAAGAGGGCTTCAGATTCCCTGGAACTGGAGTGATGGACAGTTGTTAGCCGGTAGGTGGCTGCTGGGAACTGAGCCCTTGTCCCCTGAAGAGCAGCCAGTGCTCTTATCCGCTGAGCATTTCTGCAGCCCTGAAATGTTGTTCTTTGACACACCTGAAAAGTAGCCGTAACTGTAGAGGCTGGTGATGCCGAGCCTGGACAAGAGCAAGGCCAAAAGATTATGAAGAGAAGGGGCGGAGCTGGCCCACGTGATGGGAAGGGGCGGAGCTGGCCCACGTGATGGGAAGGGGCGGAGTTGGCCCACACCAGCACTTTATCTGCAAACTCAAACACCTCTGAAACCATTAGGCTTTTTTTGTTTTTTACTTGTTTGAAGCATAATCATTGATTGCAAGAGACTCTAATCTTTTTAAATATTTAAAGATTTTACGTGTCTGAACGTGTGCCTGTCTGCATGTGTGTATGCACACCAAGTGTATGCAGGTGCCTCAGAGGCCAGTCCCCAAGAGCTGGTTACAGGTACCTGCGAGCCACCCGCATGGGTGCTAAGAACCAAACTCTGGTCCTGTATAAGAGCAGGTTCTCTGTCCTGCCGAGCTCTCTCTCCAGCCCTGAGACTCTAATGTATACGTCCTGCTCAAGGTGAAACTTCTGAACACCCATTGGTGCTGTAGGGATAGTGTTTGGTTATAAGATGTTGTCCTAAACTCCAGTGTGGTGCTTCATAAAATGTAGCATATATGTACTGCCTTTTTGGTCTGGTGACTGAACATAAGGCTGCATGCATGTTAGTGTGATGTTTGTTTATTTTTAATTGATTTATTTACATTTTTGTGTACGAGTGTATTGCCTGCATGCAAGTACACCTGTGTCATGCAATGCCTACGGAGGACAGAAGAGGGCATTGGATCCCCTGGAACTGGAGGTATGGATGGTTGTGGGTGCTGGGATTCGAACCCGGGTCTTCTGCAAGAACAGCCAGTGCTC